ACTAGAGTCTAGCACAGAGTACTCCAGGGGTACTCAAAAATGTCTGTTCAATTGAATAATAGGAAGGACTAAATACAACATCAGTGAGAGCTGCATGGGTAACTGAATGAGTGAATGAATGAAACCCCTTAGCCTCTCTCATTTGTCTTTCTTCTTATAGAATGTTCAAACCTCTTCCATCTTAAAAACAATAAAAAGACCACCTTGCTGGACCTCCATGTTGTTCTCTCTGGACTTCTCCTGGAAACCTCCTGTCAAGTTCCTCTGCAGACAATTTCTTGTATGTCTATACTTATTTTTTGTGGGAGATTTTACCCAATCCCATGACTATAAGTAATTTGTATTCTGATGGACAGATCTATATCTTCAGCCTCAATCTTTGAACCTATCTTTCCAGGTATCCATTAGACCTCTTCAACTGGATGTCAACAGGTACTTTTGGACATGTCAACTCAACATATCCCAAACAGAATATAGTATCTCCCCTGAATTCTGTGCCTACTGAGGTGTTCTCTTCTCAGGGACTATCACCTTCAATCATCCCCATTTTTTCTTGGTTTTGCCCTTGACTCCCCATTCTCCCTTATCACATACATCCCAAAATAATAACAATTTCTAGATTCTAAATATTGTCCCTGAAGTGTCAGGTTCTCTTGGATTCTTTCTGTAGGGGACATTGTCATCAAGGGTGGCCCCAAACTGTGTGAAGAATAGACAGATCAGCCAGAAGCTCCTGGGAGCCTGAAGGGAATTAGAGTCCAGTGGCCCAGCAGTGCTTGGTCCCTACTGTGAACCTTCTCAGATATTCTCTACGGCAGTGGCTCATGGTGGTGAGACTGTGTCCTAAAGGGTTAAAGAAATGAATCACTAACAGAAATTCTTAGTTTTTAGGATGGAAGAGAAGAAAAAAAACAACCTGTCAAAAACACTGAAACTCCTCGACTAAAATCAGCTAGAACCAAGATGTTTGACTGGCCATTGTGCAGAGTGAGCTTGCTGACATCACAACCACCACATGTTTCATACTAACTCCTCCCGAATTTGCACATGCAACCCATGATTTATCATGAAGACATAATTGTTCATGCCCAAGGAATTTTCAGACCTCTCCTTTCCTCCCACCAATCACCTACTAATCTCAGAATCCACCCCTTGAGCCTTTCCTAGTAAAAATACTGCGTTAAAGCCAGTACGGGGAGACAGATTTGGGCTCGACTCCTATCTTCTTGAGAGTCAACTTTCAATACAAATCTTTTCTTTTCTAAAAAAAAAAAAAAAAGCCGATGTCATCGCATTGGCTTCCGGCACGTCAGGCAACATGTCCCTTTTGTTCAATAACAGTGGCACCTCTACCATCTCTCTTCACCTCCTCCAGTATAAGTTCTGGTCAGGAACTCATGAGAGATGAGGTATTGGGAAAAGCATGAGGCAGTTCACAAATACCTTGGAGGAAGCAAAGGTAGCTATGAACCATTCAGAAACCAGAAAATCAAGATAAACAGGGAGAAAAGGACTAGGGATGAAGTGGATCCCTGAGGAAAACCCCAAGTGTGCCAGTGCTAAGATGGAAGCCCCACAGCATCTCTTGGCTAGGGTTGGTTATCCTGCAGATGAGATGGGGGTGAGGCATCAAAGTGAATGAGTAACTTCACAGTAACACCTTCTCTCTTTCTTCATCTCCCACATCTAATTCATCAGAACTCATCAGCAAACTACCTTCAGAAATAACCCCAAATCTGATCACTTCACACCACCTGTCCCACTACTACTGTTGTTTTATACATATATAGAGAGAAATATATATAGGTATGTATATAAATATATATATACACATATATGTAGAGAGAGAAAGAGAGAGAGAGGTTGCAGAGAGGGAGAGAGAGTCTGTTTGCCACAGTAGAAATTAAGCTACATTGGAATGGAACCTTGATCTTGTTCACTGCTTTATTCCCATCAGCCAGTAGGTGAAATGGCTGGTACATAGTTGAGGATCAATAAATTTTTATTAATTAAATGAATATAAATGGATCAATTGATGGATGGTTGATTGAATGAACCAGAGAGACTGTAACTTGTATATCAGTCAGAATTAGCTAGGTTATGCTACAATAACAAACAACTCCAGAGTCTTGATGACTTGAAACAACAAAGGTTTAGTTCTCATGAGATATCCATTGTGGATCACCAGGGAGGCCTTGCTCATTGTAGTCACTCAGGGACCCAGGATTATGAAGGCTTTATCTTGACTGATACTGGCTTTCACCACAGCAGGGGGAAGAGAATGTGCTCTGTCTTCCACTGGTTCTTAAAACTACCTTCTGAAGGCATTACTTTAACTTATGCAACTAACTAAAGTAAGTCATATGGGCATGCCTAAACACAAGAGAGCAGAAAAATGCCTGAAAGGGGAAGATAAGTGAGATCTCTGTTGACAACCTTATGATTAGCACAGAGTGAGTGGGTCATATCCATGGAGAGATGTGTGTGCGATACGCAGTGAGTGTCAATGATAGTGAATGAGTCTTCATGCAACTCCAGGGGAAATCAGTAAATGCTTACAAGAGTGTGTTAGTCAGTCGAACATATTCTCTCCCCATCTTGCCTAACCCTTGCATGGAATCTGGTCTAGTTCCCCAAGGCCTTTCCCTGTGTCAATGCCATTTTTGGAGTACTTTCTCTACTAAGGATAGTCTGGGGCTCCACTGTACCTCCACATCACTGTCTTTTGACAGAAACCCTAAAACATTGGGCCTTGCTTTTATTAAAATAAAGCCCCTAGACTCCTGGAGCTTGGTGATTTGACCACCTGTAAAGCAGACCAACAATTCTATTTCTTTCAGTTTCCCCATTCCTTATGTTAGCCAGTTTCCATTTTCCATTTGCTCTTTTTTCTTTTCTAAGGACACCTGATGTACTGCATGGCTGGCCTCCTCCCATTCCCATCCTACATACATACCATAAAGCTCTGCTCTAAAATAAGACACAAGCATTATGGAAAGAACATGGAGTTGGGGTCAGACCTAAGCTCAAATCCTGACTGTACCATTTACTGACCACATGACAGTTGGTTTTCTTGTCTTACAAAATAGGGGCAAAACTGACAACCACAATGGATTACTGTGAGAGTTAAATGAGAAAATGTATGCAAATCACACATAGTATATTAAGACAGCTGTTTTTGCTGTGGTGATCTTGTGGTCATGTGCTAAATCTTCCCTACTAGACTAAAAAGTCCTTGATGGCAAAGACCTAGATTCTTGCCAACACTGACTTCCCAGCCTCAGCAACTAGGGCAGTGTTTGAAACCTGGTAGGTGCTTAATAAATATTTGTCAATGAATATAAAGAGTTTTGTTAATATCAACTAAAGAAGATCCTGAGACAAGGCAGATAGCACAGACACACCAAACCAAAGCTGGATCTATCCTCTGTGAAACTGGCATCCAGTTGTCATCACATATATATATATATATATATATATGGAATTGCACACATTATTAAAATCTCAAAAAGTGACTTCCCTCCCAGCTGGCCTTCTGCTGCAATGAAATGACAAAGATCTGACATCTTCATCACACAATTACTAAAACATCCTTTTGAGTTGTCATTTTAAAATATTTGCCCAATTTAGCTGGAGTTTGAGTTTAATTATAGGAAGAAATGTGGGCTTGAGTTAGGTTACATTGAATTTGGGGAAGGGAAGAGCAGATAACTGGATCCCTCCCACTCACTGAAAGACTTTGGCTGACCAAGACAACTCTGAAATAAGACTAGACATGTCAAATAAAGCAAAAAACACAAAAGAAACCTGGAAACCTTGAAAAGAAAGAGAAGGTCCTGGAGCAGGAGTTTAAGCAGGCCTCGCTGTAGCTTAAAATCCTTCACTGTCCCTCCAGGGCCTTAGGACACAGTGCAAGATGCCTAGCCTGGTGTTCAAGCTTCCCAGGGTCTTGCAACCCCTCCAAACTCTGCAACCTTTTCTCTTCCCTCTCCCAACTTCCCCCAATCCCTATGCATCCCACTGACCTATGGGCCTTGGGGTCTCGTCTAGCTTCTCTCTTGCCTGGGCCCACTTTTATTTCCTCTTCACAGTGGCCTAGACTGACTGTACTAGTCTAGTCCATCTGTCAACAAATATTCATTTGGGACTTCTTATGCACCCAGCATGATTCTAGATGCTGGGATAAGGCAGTTAACAAATCAAAATAAAATTCCCTGGCCTTGAAAAGGAAACCGACAATAAAAATAGTCACATAAATAAACCATAGTCTTTCAGATGTTGATAATTTCTTACTAACTTAGTTCTCTTTTCTTTTTCTTTTAAGACTGGTAAGTGAAGGTAACAAAACAAAATTTGTGCTTGACTCAGTGTACAGTTTTTGAAACATCTTTTTTGATCTTCTAAAGACTCAGGTCAATACCCAAAACCTTCCTTTATTATTGTATTGACATCCACTAACTGATATTTATTTCACATTATATTATCCTTCTGACTAGATAGGGAGCTACTTGGGGGCAGGGATGGAGTTTGATTCTCATGAAGGCACTAGAGACCATCTGCTAAAAGAATGAGGGGAAGATTGTGCCAATTCTGAGCTGTCTATCTAGCAAGGTCTTCTAGGGATAAAATCCCTATGAGCTGAGATGCCTGTTTACTTTATAGCATCTTGGAGAGAAGCACTGCTATTTCTCAACCCAACTCCATGAAAATAATTATTGCAAAACTCACCTTCTAGTGAGCATCTTCTATTGCCAGGCACCATGCTGGGCCCTCAATGTAGAATGTCTTTTTAGTAAGTAAAAAGTTCTCCTTGGTAATCCTCACAGTGCCAATAACTGTGAGAAGTACATGGAAATTACTAGCTGCTATCAATATTACTGTGTCTAAAACTACCGTTTTCCCCTGCATTAGAACAATCTGAACATTGTTAGGCAAAGACATCTAAGCAATTTTAAAATTATTTGAGTCATGACAGAGAGACTCACAACTGAAATATTTACCTTTCAATTTCAGGTGAGGACGTTCCCAGAGATTGAAGATGTGACAAGTTCCCGCATCGTGTGAGCATCAGAGAAAAGTTCCCCTGACAAGTCACGTGCAGAGATAGAAACTGTTGATTAAAGAGAGGATTAATTTTATCTTCCAAGTATTTCTACTGGGAAATGCTCTTAGATTCATAGAATAGTGGGGCTGAAAGAGTACTTTGAGGTCTCCTCCTCAGCTCATTTGTCTTATGAGTAGGAAAACAGAGGACCAGCGATGAGAATTGCATTCTAATTATTCAGTCTACCTGCTTTCACCCCCCGCTTCAATCTATCATCCAACTAGAATTTATTGAATGATCAAGGGAATAAAAATGAAGGAGGCATTTGGTCTTGATTCACCCATTCATTTATTCAGAAAGTATTTATTGAATATCCACTATTTGCCAGGCACTGTTCTAGGCACAGGGAATATAGCAGCAAACAAACCAGATAAAAATCCCTGCCTCCATGGAGCTCACATTCTAGAGAGAGGCAGTAGACTGCCTAGACTGTTGAATGGTTATAAATGCTAGAGAGAAGAATAAAGCAGAAAGGAGGGCCAGTGATATGGTTTAGCTCTGTGTCCCACCCAAATCTCACGTTGAATTGTAATCCCCAATGTTGGAGGACAGATCTGGTAGGAGGTGACTAAATCATGAGAGCAGATTTCTCCCTTGCTTTTCTCATGGTAGTGAGTGAGTTCTCGTGAGATCTGGTTGTTTGAAAGTGCATAGCACTTCCACCTTCACTCTCTCCTCCTCCTGTTCCAACACGTGAAGATGTGTTTGCTTCCCCCTTACCTTGACCATGATTGCAAATTTCTGAGGCCTCCCAGCCATGTTTCCTGCACATCCTACAGAACTGCGAGTCCATTACACCTCTTTTCTTTATAAATTACCCAGCCTTGGCTGGTGTGGTGGCTCACACCTATAATCCCAGCACTTTGGGAGGCTGAGGCAGGTGGATCACTTGAGGTCAGGTGTTTGAGACCAGCCTGGCCAACATGGTGAAACCCATCTCTACTAAAAATACAAAAATTAGCTGAGTATGGTGGTAGGTGCCTGTAATCCCAGCTACTTGGGAGGCTGAGGCACAAGAATTGCTTGAACCCAGGAGACAGAGGTTGCAGTGAGCTGAGATCATGCCACTGTACTCCAGTCTGGGTGACAGAGTGAGGCTCCATCACAAAAATAAAAGTAAAAATAATTTACCCAGTCTCAGGTAGTTATTTATAGCAGTGTAGGAATGGACTAATATGGAAAATTGGTACCAGGAGAGGGGTATTGCTATAAAGACACCTGAAAATGTGGAAGCAGCTTTGGAACTGGGTAATGGGAAGAGGTTGGAACAATTTGGAGGGCTTAGAAGAATGGAAGAACATGTGGGAAAGTTTGGAACTTCCTAGAGATTCACGGATTGGTTGTGACCAAAATGCTGATGATGATGTAAACAATAAAGACCAGGCTGAGGTGGTTTCAGGTAGAGATGAGGAACTTAGTGGGAATTGGAGTAAAGGTCACTCTTGCTATGCTTTAGCAAAGAGACTGGTGGGACTGTGCCCCTTCTCTAGACATCTGTGGAACTTTGAACTTAAGAGAGATGATTTGGGGTATCTGGGGGAAGAAAATTCTAAGCAGCAAAGCATTCAAGATGTGGCCTGGCTTCTTCCAAAAGCATATGCTTATTTGCATAAACAAATAAATTACCTGAAACTAGAACTTATATTTAATAGGGAAGCAGATCACAAAAGTTTGGAAATTTTGCAGCTTGACCATGTGGTAGAAAAGAAAACTCATTTTCTGGGGAGGAATTCAAGGTTGCAGAAGTTTGCATAAGTGAAGAAGAACTGAATGTTAATAGCCGAGACAACAGGGGAAAATGTCTCCAGGGTACTTCAGAGACCTTCACAGCAGCCCCTCCCATCACAGGCCTAGAGGCCTAGAAGGGAAAAATGGTTCTGTGGGCCAAGCCCAGGGCCTGCTGCTCTGTGAACCTCAGGACATGGCATCCTGCATCCTAAATGCGCCGGCTCAGTTGTGGCTAAATGGGGCAAAGATAAAGCTCTGGCCATTGCTTCAGAGGATGCAAGCCTCAAGCCTTGATGGCTTCCATGTGGTGTTGGGCCTGTGGGTGTGCAGAAGGGAAAAGCTGAGGTTTGAGGACCTCTGTCTAGATTTCAGAGGGAGTATGGAAATGTCTGGTTATACAGGCAGAAGTCTGCTGCATGGTCAGAGCCCTCATGGAGAGAACTCTACTAGGTCAGTGCAGAGGGTTGGGGTTGGATCCCCCACACAGAGTCCCCACTGGAACACTGCCTAGAGGAGTTGTGAGAAGAGGGCCAACATCCTCTAAGCAACAGAATGTTATATCCACTGACAGCTTGCACCGTACATCTAGAAAAGCCACAGGCACTCAATGCCAGCTCATGAAGGCAGACACAGGGGATGTACCCTGCAGAGTCACAAAAATGGAGCTGATTAAGACCTTGGGAGCCCACTCCTTGCATCAGCATGTCCTGGATGTGAGACATAGAGTCAAAGGAGATTATTTCAGAAGTTTAAGATTTAATGATTACCCTGCTGGGTTTTGGACTTGCATGGGGCATATAGCCCCTTTGTTTTGACCAATTTCTCCCTTTTGGAATGGGAGCATTTACCCAATGCCTGCAACCCCATGGTATCTTGTAGGTAACTAACTTGTTTTTTATTTTACAGACTCATAGGAGGAAGGGAGTTGCCTTGTCTCAGATGAGACTTCTGAAGTCTCTTAGACTTTCAAGTTAACACTGGAATGAGTTAAGACTTTGGGGGACTGTTGGGAAGGCATGATTGTATTTTGAAATGTGAGAAGACATGAGATTTAGGAGAGCAGAATGACATGGTTTGGCTCTGTGTCCCCACCCATATCTCATGTTGAATTGTAATCCCCAATGTTGGGGAAGGGATCTGGCGGGAAGTGATTGGATCACGGGGGTGGATTTCCCCCTTGCTGTTCTCGTAATAGTAAGTTCTCATGAGATCTGGTTTTTTAAAAGCACAAAGCACTTTCTCCTTTGCTCTTTCTCTCTCCTGTCACCATGTGAAGACATATTTGCTTCCCCTTTGCCCTTCCATCATGACTGTAAGTTTCCTGAGGCCTCCCAGCCATGCTTTCTGTACAGCATGCAGAACTGTGAGTCCATTAAACTTCTTTTCTTTATAAATTACCCAGCCCCAGGTGGTTCTTTATGGCAGTATGAGAATTGACTTATACAGCCAGTGAAGGGGAAGTACGTACAACTTTAAATAGGGTGGTTGGAGAAGGCCTCTCACTTAGAAGGTGATAGAAGCAGGGAATGGAACCATGTGGCTATCTAGTGAATAAAATCCAGACAGAGGGAATGGAAAATTTAAAGGCCTGGTGGGTCCAAAGAGCAATGAGGAGGCCAGTGTGGCTGGAGTGAATGAGACATGAGATGTTTGTTAGACGTCAACGCAGAGAGATAATAGGGGGCTGGGGAAGGGTGTACCATATCCCTGAAAGTCCTTGTACCATCAATGGCTAATTTCCTCTCATACTCTTCCTTCCCTTCTCTGTACTGCTTCCTTGTCCTCTGGCTTCTGGCTAGATTTGGCCAATGGGATGCACTGTCAAGAGGGATTAAAGAGTGGAAGGGAAGAAAAACCATGTCTCTCTGTTTCAAATGATATCTCTAGCAGGGGCCACATCTCTGGTTCCAGCTCCCAACAGACAGGCCTGCCATGTTTCCAGCTTCTGTGGGGCGGCTCCAGCTCTCAGACTCCAATGACATGGACTCTTCTCTTTATTCCTGCATGTCTTGGGAGAAATGGTGGGCCCTGCAGTTGCTAAATTCATGGTTACCCCACTTTCTCTTGGTTACCCTTTCAGCTCTTCTAACACCTTTATAACTAATGCCCTACATTAAATAATCTCTACTAAATTACCTGGCATGAATTGTGTTTTCCAGCTGGACTCTGACTGATAAAGCCTTCATAGGCCCCTGTAAGACTTCAGCTTTTACTCTAAGTAAAATGGGCAGCCATTGGAGAGTTTGAGTAGAGATTCATGAATTGCCTTGGAGCCTGAATGAATAGAAAAAAACAATTGTTTCCAAAAATGTTTCTTTAATTGAAGATACCTGCCCAGTGTTACATAGAATTTGTGATGGGACAGGCTCATAGTACCTGTTCCTCTGCTCTCCACTCCATTTTAAATAAATGGCATTGAGAACCTCAGAAACTTCAAAAACAAAGAAAGGTGTTTGGATATTCTCTAACAGTTTTATACAAGACTCAAACTCTTTGAAGGCCTTTGGAGGTCAGAGATGACAGTGAGAAGGCCCAGTCATCATTGACAGGACCTCACCAGTAATGCAGAGGAAGGGCTTTGTCTGTCTGATTTCCTGGGAGAGTGCCAGTTTTAGCAGAAAAGGGGAAGAAAATCCAGCCCCTGAGGAGCCCCTGCAATATCCTAGGCACTCTGCCAAGCAATTTTACATCCAATGGCTCATTTAATCCTACAAGGACACTGCTCAGTGGATATTAATATCTTTATTTTGAGAAAAAAAAGTGCTTTCAGAGAGGTTAGGTAACTATGCTAAGGTCACATATCCTCTTATTCCATCAACAAGTGGATCAAGGACCAGCCCCTTCAAGGTGGTCATAAAGGTAGTGGAGTGTGGGAGACTGAGAAAAGTCATTGGATAAGAAAGCCAGGTCTTTGGACTCAAAGTCATTTTGCCTCTCTGAGTCTTAGTTTCTTCATCTTTAAAGTAGGAATAACATCAGTGCTATCCATTTCAAAAAAATGTTTCTGATCATTTAAATGAACTAGTGTGTGGGAAGCACTTTGCAAATTTTAAAGCTCTGTACTAAAGACCTTTAACCTGAGGTCCATGCCTGAGCCTTGAGGCCTGCAAATCTCTTGAAGATGATGCTAAATTTTGTTTATATAGGCATAGACCTGCTGGTCTCTCACACAATCTGAGTTCCCCTGTGCCTCTTACTGGTGAGCTTCTTGCTGTGCTGGAAGTGATTCTATTATTTAAAGAAAGGCTTTTTCATACAACATGGCTCCCAAATGTA